TGTCCCCCCCCCCCCCCCCCCGGGGTCACCTGTCACCCGGGGAGGTTTGGGGACACGGGTGGTTCAGTGTCACTGCCCCTGCTTTGTTACTACTGGGGGGGCTTGAAATGCCTTGTTTTGGGGAGGGAGGGGTTGGATTTGAAGCCATCCCTGGCACTCCTCCCCACAGCAGGGACTGGGTGCTGTGTGGGGAGGGGGCTGCTGGCCTTGCTTTGTGTCCCTCCCCTGTCACCCAGCCTGGGGTCAGGGCTCTGCTTGCCAAGCTGCTTGACCCGCAGCCCCTTAAATAGGGAAACTGAGGCACAGGTTGGGTGCTGGCCCCGTGCCCGGCACTGGGGGGGCACTGGGGGCTCTGTGTCCCCCTCCGGGAGGGTCCCCACTGAGTCCCCAACTGGTTGGCCCCACTGGCAGCTGGCATTTTCTTCCTGCCCTCTCCAGCTGGGCACCCATCCAGCCTTCACTGTGAGTCTCTGTTCTCCCCGGGCCCTGGGAGGGATCCCAGACCCTGTGCATTTCAATTTAGACTTTTCAAACCTTCATTGATTACTTTATTCCCTCCCCCCCCCCTTTTCCCTGGTCCCTGATGCTCGGTACCAGCTGGGGACATTGCCCTGGTGGGGGGGACAGGACAGGGAGTGTCTTTGCTCCCCACTTTGTGCCACGGCTGCAGGGCCAGCTGGGGCTTTGTGAGCCCTGTCCTGGGGGGCACCAGGGCCCCCTGGCCCCTCCCTGCCCTTTTTGTCCCCAAGAGGTGTGAGCTGCTTCACCCTGTGCTGCCAGGGGGGGGGGATGCTTGAGACCCCTGCCCCCTCCCCTAAAGGCACCCCACAAGTTCCCAGTCCCATTGGTGTGTGAAGCTGGTTTTGGGGTTAATGGCCTCTTTGGCATCACCATCATCATCCTCACCCACAGCAAGGGGTGCTCAGGGTGCTCCTGCCTGTCCCCTGAGTGGGGGCCTGGGCTGGCTCAGGTAACACTTGGGGACATGAAATGCTTGTCCCCAGGTGACAAGATGTGGGATAATTACCTCTTGGCCATCACCCTGGATGGAGTCCAGGTTGGGGTGGGGGGGGTCTCAGGACACAAGGTGCTCCTGCACCCCCCCCCTTACAAACAACGTTCCCCTCTGTCCCCACCCCACTCCTTGATGCCACCATCCCATTCCTGGAGCTGCAGATCCCATTTCCAACCCTGGTGTGACACTTGGCCTTGGCAGCTGGGGCTCCCCCCCCCCCCCCACCTCCCCCAGTTTATGGGCACAACCTTTGTGTGCAGATCCGGGGCAATCAGATAATGAGGCTTTTCCTCCCAATTCCTCAGCAGGGCAATTGCAGCCGCTCCCACCTGCTCCCTGGATTTTTGCCCCAGAAACGATCTGGGGTCACCTGGTCCAGCTGGAGGGAGCCCCTTCCTGGGAAAACGGGACCAGTTGTCTCTCAGGATCCCAAAGTTTTCCTTTAGTCTCTGCTTTGAGGGTCCTGGAGTGGTGAAATGCATTTCCCAAGGCCCATGAACGTGGGTGTTTTGGAGCTGTGTTGATCCCATCCAAGTTCCTGGCTACATGGGACCTCCTTGTGGGGTCTCCATAGGGACTCAGGATTGGGAAGAAGCCCCCAGAGACACCAGTGTCACCAGTGTGGCCTCCTGGCTGTCCCCATCCCTCCCGTGCCAGGACAAGGGTGTGCAGAGCTCCCTGTGGTTTCCCTGTGAGCTGGCAGGGCTGAGCAAAGAGCACCCAGGGTGACAGGGGGGTGACAGGAGGGTGACAGCCCCCCGTGGGTGCTGGGATGGAGCCTTTCCCTGGTGGGAGAGCTACTGGGCTCAGCAGCACCACAGGTTCTGCTGGGATGGCCCAGGGTGATCCCATCCTGCTTTCATCCCCTCGAGGGTTTTCCCATCATGGGCAGGAGGGGCTGTTTGTTTTTTTTGTGGGTGCTGTGTTTTGGGGGGGTGGGTCTGGGTGGGTGGGAAGGTGCTGGAAGTCCTGGCACCCTTGGAGAGGCTTTTACAGCCTCCAGCTCCTCCTCTCCACCGGGAATGTCCCTGACCAGTCCTCCCCCCTCCATCCTGCTGGGCTGGGGCTGTTGGAGGGGACAGGGATGGGGGGGGAAGGGGG